TCGTATTGTAAAAATTGTTCTTTTTTCTTTGTGAGAGTAAATGAACCGGTTATTTGAATTTCTGACATTGATCGAGGATTTGCTGGAAAATTTAGATTTGCAGCACGTTGTCGACAGACGGCACGCTTCAAGTTGTTGATAGGTGGAAGCTGGCTTAACACTGCAGTAGATGCTGTGGCAATTGATGTGGCAACAATAGAATGTGTCGTGATTGTTGTTTCGGAAAGATTACGAATTTCAGAACGACATTGACGAATTCCACTAATGCTCGGATTGGGCGCGTGATTGTGATCGCCAACTCGATGACAAATTGTGTTATTAGTTGTATATAATCTAGCTTTACATTTCTGTTTGTTGCATTGTGTACATCGTCAATATACTTTATTTTCATGAGTACGTTCTTCAATATAATCAAAACCGTTCTCAATCAGAATTGGCTTGCCTTTTTCAGTTTTAGAAAATAAAATTGACATGATGTGTTCGTACTTTCAATGTGATTTATATGATGGTGAATTTTGAATGATTGTAAATGGATAACGTCTTCTTATTCTCACTCGTTTAAATACTTTCAAGGAAAATTGATCATTGCCGGACTCTCTTTCTTTAGTATTAATCAATACAAATAAAATTAATCGATGTGCATGCACATGACCGTCTGTTCTCATAATTGTCTTACACACAACTGTCCGTTCTCACAACTGTCTTTCACACAATTGTCTGCACACAACTGTCTTTCACACAATTGTCTGCACACAATTGTCTTACACACAATTGTCTTACACACAATAGTCATAGACCCAATCATCACTTATCAGAAACTGAGTGGTTTTCATTTTTCAACTGATAATAACTTTTAAATATGTCTGCCCAGTCCCTTGAGCAAGGAAGAAACGTCGTGTGAATCTTTGAATTTATTCTCCGATCTTCTACGCTGTAAAATGGGGTGTCAGCATGTGATGTGTGCGTGGACATGTTCATCTATTCACGCATATCCACAATTCAACCGAAACCTACACTCGCACCCTCATTCAATATTTATTTGTTCAACATCAAAGCAGAGGGTGTGGGTGTGGGCGTGAGCGTGGGTGTGGGTGGTTGAGTGTGGATGTGGGTGTGTGGGTTGATGTAAGTGCGAATGTTCACTACATCGATACCCGGACACACACCCACACCCCACCCACACACTCACACCCAAACCCTCACCCACACCCCACACCCACACTCTCACACCGGTTGTAACCTTTTTCGCCGCAAAGCGTTTCCTCGAAAGAGTCGTAGGATGCTTTGGACTGTTGCAAGCCCTTTAATTCTTATATGGGCTTGTTCAGCATGAAGAGGTCAACACATTTTGCCCTCACCCGCACCTTTGTGGCTCCCTCCGTGACCAAAAAGTACTTTCGACGAAGTATGCTTCGGCGAAGAGCATATATACCCCCACACCCACCCACCCACATCCACACCCTACACCCCTGTTCAGGTGTAACTATATAATGTAATGTTGTTATTTCTTCCAACACTTGGTTTTTTCATTACTCAAACAGTCTACTATTTTGTTTTTGCCTTCCAAGTTTACATTAGCTACGAGAAGTTTGTTTTTTTGCGTCTCGCGGGTGTCTTTTACTTTTTCGATTCTTGATGTCTGCAATTCGATGATTACATTTATTTTTCTAACGTCACAACATATTCTCACGAATCTGAACTATGGATAAATCAATTTTAAATCACTTGTTTCTTCCACATAATCTACCGTCTTCAGCTGATAATGATTTTTTAATTGAGTCCAATCATCAATATGAATACAAGATATTAGAATATATGAAACAATATTTGGATAATTTTCAAAGAATAAATGATACAAATAACTTGACAATACTTCAAGTGCTTAGCGATTATTGCCTTAAAAATTGGTCTGTCTTACAGAACCCCGAAAAATTTTCCGAATCAAATATACAAACCATTATTGAGCAACTATCACCAGGAAGTTTTCTTCCGTTATATTTCCGTGCTCAAAATGCTGCAATTCTAATTGAAATTGAAGAAAACAATATTGATCAACCATTAGTTTCATCTTGGCAAGTCTTATTACCGATTCAAGAAATTACTACTTCTCTTGTTCCTCATTTCTCTTGCTTTCCAGTAACAACATACAGATTGAACGATCGATCTCAGCTGAGTTCCAAAGTTCATTGTGAATTGTTGGTGGACTTTATGAAAAACACGATTGAATATTCCAAATCTTATCAAACTTCTCGACAAGAAAATAAGATAAATGATGTACCAGAATCTCATTATGTATGCCAGTGGTGAATTCAACTATTTCAAGGAATTCAAATTGAAAACAGTTCTAATATGTCTATTGAATTCAAGAAAAAACATCGCGATCATATCAGATGTAGCAGTGCCTTATTACCTTTTCGACGTTCAGGCTTATGGTTGACTATCAAAGTAGTACTTCAAATCATTCTAACCAAACGTTTGGGGCATGTGGGCACCCTTGTTTATAAATTATTGATCACTCATTTTCTAACATATGTTATTTGTAATACATATTCTACAATATCCACTGATTTATTAGTTCATTGTATTCGAAAAATCGTACGAAGATTGTGTAAAATCGAAAAGCTGTTATCGTCTATAAATTCAAATGATATGAACGCATGGATACAAAGTACGAAACAAGAAATACAAATGAAAATTAATCAAATTCTTCCAGGATCAGATTGGCAAAAATCCATTCAAAACAATGAAGAAACAAATCGAAAATTATTGATGACCAACGTCAAATTTCTTAAATGTGATATTTATCAACATTTATGTGAAGACTTAAAAACTTCTCCGAATAATCAAATCTTGATACAAACAATCACATTTTTGCCAGGAATTAAGAAAAATAATGTTAGTAGTAACGTTATTCAAGATGATTATGTACCATCGATTAAAGAATTAACAGAAAAATTTAATTATACTATTGGAATAGCTTTGACTCGTATGGAAATATGGGTTGAATAACGTTTAGATCAATGGATTAATGGCCCAAAAATAAATCTAAACCGAAGAAATTGGTGTGAAACTTTGTTGGACTTCTTCGAAGAATATCAGAGTGCAGCATTGAATCATTACTGGTCAGAAAATGGTCCAATAGATCCTATGGGTTATAGTCGATTTATTCTAACGTCATTAACAATTATTCGCTCAATGCATCAAAAATGATGTAATGATTCAGGATTTGAACGACTAAAACTACATTCAATAAATATTCCAAATCTTATGAACTTGTTCGAATTTTTAGTTTTACCAAATCGAGAAGATATTATTCGAATTCGGAGTCTCAAAGATTATTTTAATGAATTTAGTCATAGAAAATATCCTGATCTTTTATCAACCATAGATCATGCTGATGCATTTGGTGTATATTATGCCTCTCAATCATCGGCAATGAATGAAAGTATACAACAAATTACAGCTCAAGCTGAACGAGATAAACAACAGAAAATACAGGAAGTCACAAATGCTAAAGAACGATACACACACCTTATGAATTCAATTAATGGCCGTCCATGTACATGTAGTTATAGGTATGGTTATCGAGAAACATGTAATACATGTTCAATTCGGGAACAAGCTGCAAACATTAAAGTACATATTTATGAATGTCCATTACCATCCGAACGCGAACAAGCATTGGCCGTTATTTTTGAATTACAAATGCCAATTGAAATTCGAAATTATCGTGATATCCTCTGGCAATTTATCAATCGTCCAAAACCGCATCCATCACATAATATGCACGAATGGTTAAGTGTTCCTCCTCATGCAAGCAAGTTAGGATCGTTCTATAATGGTCCAAGTAACTGCAAAGTGAAATTAGTATCCTCTACAAAATCTGTAACGCAAACTTATCATTCCTATCCACCATCCATTGCTTCTACATCTATCGAAGGTTTTTTACATGAAAATAGTTTGACTGTTGAAATCTTGCCAACAAAACCAATTGGATTCGATGATGAATGTCGTATATTAACGCCTCAACTTAACCATCCAGATTACAAACAATTACAATTTACAATAAATACTACAAAATTTCTTCAAAATCATGTAACTGCTAAACTGTCCGATTGTTCAATACGAATGAAACCTAGTCAGTTTATAGAATTTGGTTCATTTAGATCAGGTCATCGTTTACAATGGTGGAATCTTTTGGCAATATTTGAAATGGACTCATTGCCTATTTCTGAAGAAAGTGTGACAATATTGATTATGCATTCAATATGGCAATACGGTCCACAGACAAGTAATGTTAGTTTATCCAATAATTCTTGGTGTTCAGAATCACATGAACAACTATTAGAAGATCATTTTATTGACGAATTAGTTACGAGATTAGATCGTCGTTTAGATGATTACGAATTAAATCGGCAAAATGAATTGGTATTAGTAGCTATTACAATGATTACTATGAGAATGTTAAGTATTTGTAATTCAACAAAACAAAATAAAATAGCTGATTTAGCAATGAAATGTCGTAGAATCGGTGAGAAATGGATTGTTCTTATTTCGGAGAATATTCAAACCGTATTGTCTTCAGCCTTTAATGAAATAGAAAAACTACGTCTGAAAATTGTAATTATTGGTATTTCATGCATCTTAACATTTTCAACCAATTCTGATCGATTACAATATTTATTGTCACCGAATGAACATATCGTATCTCTAGTAAAATCAGCAACTACTATTCATGATAATATTATTCTAAACAAGAATCAATCTAATATGAGTACATGCATGAGAAATATTATGAGATTTAGCGAACATGTCTTAGTAATGGTACAGCCAATAATTGCTGAAATTCTTCAGAAAACATTTTATCAAAGTTTAAATGATTTTGCTACTATATATTGGGCTGCCATGAGGAGCAAAGGTACTATGAATGGAAAATGGGAAAAACGAAAACAAGATCCTTATGATGGTTGGTATGATTGTCGATATGAATCAAGAGTTATATCGATTGATTGTATTAGAGGAACTTTTTTAGTTGATAATATGGCCATAGGCTATTTACCTGAAAATATAACAACGAATGAATTATTTACACGTGTATTTGGTAATCATATTTTTGAAGTTCAATTGGCTGAATTACCTAAAACTTATATTACTAAACATTCGTATCATGGTAATGGAAAAGCTCAATATGAATTTTGTTTCAATGATCAAAACAAATGTTTGAAAGTTACTGAACGACATATACAGACAAATGAGATGTTTCGATTAATTCCTCATACTTGTTTTCAAAAAGAACTGCCTGATATGTTTGTCTCGAAACATAGTCATTGGTTGAACATAAAAACTGAGATAGTCGAATTTCGACCTATTCATTTTAAAGAACCTGACTTTTTAGATAACAGACCATATATTTTATCATTGGAAAGTGGATATATTATTACTACTGTAGAAAATAATACACAAATTTTAATTAATCAATCATCAACATTCTTTCAAAAATTATTTAATCGATATTTTAATCGTCTCGATGATAAACCCTATGTTTACATGATGCGCGGCAATATTTCCTCTCAGACTGATATGATTATTTACATTCATTTATCTCGTTTAGGCATTGCTTTTGAATACAATACTTCAACCAATATTATAAAATCTCGTGAATATTCAGATATGTGTGTTGATAAAGATCAATGGTTAGGAACTTTAACAGGTCTAACATTTGGTCTTCTCTTATCACCATTACTAACAAATAATTACAGATTGGATCATTATCCATATCGAAAATTGATTGTACCTTTTGGCACGCTTCAAAGTAAAATATTAAATTACAACATGAATCATCAAACTATTACAATAGACCGATCCTCTTCAATATCATTTCCTCATAAATATTTTGTTTTTATTTTTAATGATCGATTAAAAATATTTCAATCAACGGATAGTCCTACTGGATGGCTTTATTTAGCATTGTTACATGGAATGACTTCTCATCCTTTACCAGATCAATATACTGGAATGACTGGAATGGAAAGAGCTTTTCAATTATTCAATTCAGCTGGTTGTTGGTCCGATCAACCTTTTGATGAAGTTTCATTAAATATTCTTTGTCAAATTGCATCCATTTCTCCAAAGGTTGATTATTATCCACAAAAAATGACTATTATGGAAAAAATAGATTGGAATACAAATGGTTTACCCTATTCGATGCAACATTTCGGTGATTATTTAATAGCAAAAAAGCTAATCGATAGTCGTCAAATATTCAATTTTATGTATCCATCGATGATATCACATAAAATGCCAGAACTATTTCAAGGAAAAATATACAATGAAATATTATTAAAAAAACTATATTGGAATTATCGCGATTCATATAATCCTACAGCGAGATTATCCGTAGAGATGGAGGATGATATCTTAAGTAGTAGTTCAGTGACACTATATCGTCCGGCTTTGGAACATTGTTCACATATTAGTAACTATCGTGCTGTCCATCTTGTAGATGACCTATACAATAATGGATATGTAAATCTTAGAGATTGTTCGAATCAGCATTGGTTACCCTTGTCTCAATGGCTGACTGTTAAAAATAATTTGAAAAATTTTTGGATTGGCTTATTAAAATTAGCTGACCGTATTAAAACAGTAACGACTGGTAACAATACAGATGACATTAAACGATTCGAAAGCTTGTTAGATTTCCTGCATTATATTTCCAATAAATGTAAGATCAATCCATTTTATTTGCAAATGTTAAAGACAACTTTGAAACTTTCTACCATATCGCTAAGATCCGTTGAATTTCCTCCTTTTATTTATTATTATAATATCGAACAAACTTGGGTTGTAAACGAGGATATCTATTTTTCAAGTGATCTTACTTCACATCAACAAAGCAAAATTTTAGCAAGAATTCGCGACTGTTTTGAATGCGGTGATAGATTTGAAGATTACGACGACCTGATAACTTATGATGAAATAAGTGAAATCAATGGATCATTACAGGCATGGCGATCTAACAAAAAACTTCGATCTTTTTTAGAAGCCGTTCAATGTTCCATTTGTTCTGTCCCAATAGAACAGTTTGATATCAAAGTATGATATTATTCTCAAAAATTTGCACGTGAACAACCCAAAGATCACTATCAAATACAAATTAAATTTATAGAGAAATCAATTGATCAAATATTTTTACGAAATGCTGAACAAAAATTTCATTATTTCAATGCAGGTAATTTTAATCAAACAACTAAATTTGTTCAAAGAACTGATCGACAAAATACATTTCCAGAAGAAATTTGTTCTTCTATGAACAAACAAGACAATAATCTAAGTGAAATAACTAATTATTTTAAAAATCAATTATCTCAAAGTTGGAACAAATTTCTTTTGGACAATCAATATGAGAAAAGATATCCTTCAATTAAAAAAATCATTGAACTTCTTGATTCTTTTCGAGAAGAATCTATCAAACTCTGGAATGAATTATTTAACCCTCTTACATTATTATATAAGCAATTATTTGAAATAGGTCTAGTTTTAAGAATCACACCAACAACTCTTATATCTCTACTTCAAGAAAAAAAATCTTTATCATTTGTATTGACTACCGAACAATGCACAATACTTGGTGGTATTATTGTCAATTGGACATTAGAACAACAAATGGAAAGAATTTTATATTTTGCAATTCATAAAAAATGGGAAGATTTTAAAAAAGAAATATCACATATACCACATTCAAATTGGAAACCATCTGAATATATTTCTTGGCTTATTTTAGAATTAGAAATGAATATAACTATACGTGAAATGCAAATAAAAGTAGCACAACATATGATACAACCAAATATGAAAATAAATGATTTATCAGTACGAAATATAGTTATGCAAATGAATATGGGTGAAGGAAAAACATCAGTTATATTACCAATGTTAGCTGTTAATTTATCTTCATCTAATTCGAGTTTAGTTCGTATTATAGTACTTAAATCATTATTTCCAACAAATTATCAATCATTACGATATAAATTAGGTGGTTTATTGAATCGACGTATTTTTCCATTTCCATGTCGTCATGATATGAATTTTAATAATGTACAAATAAATGAAATTTTTAAACGTTTTCAACGAGGATTACAAAATTGTGATATTATATTAACTTCACCAGAAGATATTCTTTCATTTGATTTACTCACCATTGATAAATGTCGAAGAAATGAATTTGATATTGGTAGTTCTATGTTAATAGTTCAACGATGGTTAAAAAAATATGTTCGTGATATATTAGATGAATCAGATGAAATTTTACATGTTAAATATCAATTAATTTATACTGTTGGTAGTCAACAACAAATTGATGGAGGTGCAGAACGTTGGAAAACTATTCAAACAATTCTTGAATTAGGGAAAAAACATGCTGTTGATATTTCAAAATGTTTCTGCGAAAATGTTTATTACAAATCATCTGAACGAAAAAGTACATTTCCACAATTTCGTTTACAATCATCTGAACCATTTTCATTACTTTGTCAAAAAATTGCAAATGATTGGATTGATAGTAGAAATTATCGTTATACAGATAAATCAATTATATTATCATTTATTTTAGAAACATATTTATCAGTTGAAAATCTTATTGATAAATTTCCACGTCTTGACATTCAATTATTTCTTATTATTCGTGGTTTATTATCATCTGAAGTTTTATTAGTTGCTTTTAAAAAACGATATCGAGTTAATTATGGTGTTAATACAAATCTATCTTTTAATCGTTTAATGGCTGTACCATTTCGTGCAAAAGATGTTGTAGCTGATAGAACTGAATTTGGCCATCCTGATGTTGCGTTAGTATTAACACAACTTTCATATTATTATTCAGGTTTAAACAATTCACAATTATCACAATGTTTCAATCGTTTAAATGATGAAGAAACTGATCCTACATCGATTTATGATCAATGGATTTTATATGAAGATGAAAAAGATATACCAAATAATATTAAACAATGGAATAGAGTTAATTTAAAAGATTATCAACAACAAATTGATTATCTATTTCCTACATTTCGATATAATATGTTAGTTATTAATTATTTTCTTAATTATTTTGTATTTCCTCGAGAAGCAAAACAATTTCCATATAAATTAGTTGCTTCTGCTTGGGATTTATCTTCATCTTTACGATCACAATTAATTACTGGATTTAGTGGAACTAATGATACACAATTATTACTTCCTATTCATATTCGACAATATGATTTACCGGAACTTCAAAAAACAGATGCAATTGTTGTTAATAATTTATTACAAATTGAAAATGAAAATTATCAATTTTTATCAATTAATGTAACATCAGAAAATATTTTAAAACAAATTATAGAATACAAAGAAATCATAAATGTTATTTTAGATGTTGGAGCATTATTTATTGATGGAACTAATCAAGATATTGCTATTAAATGGTTGAATTTATCCGATAAAAATATAATTGATTATGTTGTTTATTTTGATTCAGATTCAATTATTGTTTGTGATCGTCAATTTCATCGTCATCCATTTGTAACATCTCCAGCAAGTGAACGATTAGATCGTTGTATTTTTTATTTAGATGAAATTCATACTCGAGGAACTGATTTTAAATTTCCTCAAGTTTTTAAAGCTGCTGTTACATTAGGAAATGGTTTAACAAAAGATCGTTTTGTTCAAGCATGTATGAGAATGAGAAAATTAGGTCATGGTCATTCATTAATATTTTGGAGTTCATATGAAGTTCATCAACAAATTAAAAATCAAGAAAATAATACAAATGATTCGATTAAACTGATTGATATTCTTCGTTGGGTCTATGAAAATACTCAACAATCAACTTGGGATGGTTTACATCATTGGGCTACACAAAGTTTAAATATTCAAAGAAATATTTCTGCATTTCAACATATTGATTGGTATAATGATGAACAGATATTTACTGACGTATTGATGAAAGATTTAGCTGAAGAATGTTCAGAATCTGAAATTATTGAACTCATAAAAATGTATGGAGTTTCGAAAAAACTACAAACATTATTCGAAATTCATTATAATCGATATGAACAAGTTCATCATGGTGTATGAAAAGAAATTAAAGATGCAGTATTAAAACGATTACAAGATTATTGTGGAACAAAACAACGTTTATCACAATTATTAGATGAAGAACAACAAAGAGAATTAGAACAAGAATTAGAAGAAGAACGTCAACTAGAACGTCCACCACCTGTTACTCCATTTGAACCTATACTCCATGAGGAAATTAAACGATTATGTAATACAAATAGTGCTATGATGAATCTAATACAATATCCTCGTGTATTTCGTCATTTATCATATGCTTTCATTGACACAACATTTGTTAATGATTGTCAAGTTAACAATTGGCAAGAAAATTTTTGGATTTCAACTGAATTTCAACGTGTAATTGAAACTAAAGGAGAATTATTAAATCCATTTTTACGTCCTCCACGATGGATTATTATCTATCGTAACCAGCAATTAATTTTTCTTAGTGCTTTGGAAGCCAATTGGTTAATAGGCCATTTAAACTCTCTTGATCATAAACGAAAATCTAGGCGGCAATCGATCACAACATTACGATTATTATTACCTCGGATTAAACGAGTTCAATCAATTTTTATCAATGTGCCAAGTCTCACCATACCTCCAATGATTGAACATCCTAATGGTGTTGTTCCTTTCTTTATACCACTCGAATGGTTAGTTCAATTATTTATTTTTAATGGTACACTTTATTTTGAAACAGTTGATGAACAGACAGCTTATTGTCAATGTTTAAGTTTATGTCCGAAACCTCGAACGGTGAAAGAAGAGGAAGCATTTAAAAATGGTTGGATTGATGTCGATGGCTTTGTTAGTAATTCTGAACATCGTCAATATTTGAAAATGTATAAAGTTCGATTCCATTGCAATTTACTAACATTTGTCAAACAGATCATTGAAAATCGAAATAATTCACATGCATCTATATCATCACATGTTGGTAGTATTATTCTTAATTCACTAAAACTTATTTAATCCTGAGAAGATTCAACATAATATAACTATATTTAATTCAGAGACAAATACTTTTTTTTTCATAATACTTTGAACTAAATCTTACTAACAAGAAAAAAAAGAAAAGAATTCAATAAAGATTATAAATTATAAAAGAAAAAGCAATTAACTGGTAATATACAGATATTTTTTGCATTGCACCGACTATAGAACATGAAAGGTGTAGGTATGAGTGAATAGAAGACACATATCCAAACTCTTATTTACTCCTGTGAAACGGATATCAGAAAGTAGCTCTTACATTATAATAACTCGTTATCGATGAACAGTTTTTCATCGTATATCAACAACGTTTTGTAATCCTCGTGGTGAGTTCCAGCCTGTCTGTCGCAGAATTTAAGTGCTGGTATGGATAAGAATAAAATACAAACACTCACGAGGGAACCTTTCCAACTGTCTAATCGCTTTCTCAACGAAACCTACGGAGTCAAAGGTTATCGACTATGCTGATTCCGAATATGAGTATGAGAAATGCTCTTAGGCCTTGATAAAGTGGTTTTCTAGAAAACCAGTATTCCAGAATACTAAATATTTTACCCAATGTTGTTTTCGATCTGCTCAGATTATAGAGCAGATCAAATTGCCTATCAAACAATAACTGTTTCTATTTCAGATCGATTTTATCTAAGAAACAAAGACATTTGAATTCATATAACCGATGCATACTACAACATTTTGACATAACAATACAAAAGTTTATTTTATTTTTCTAGAATTCATCCTTGCAATAAAGGAAAAAATGTTCACTTATAGACAATTTGATCTGCTCTATAATCTGAGAAGATCAAAAACAACATTTGGTAAAATTTTTAGTATTCTGGAATACTGGTTTTCTAGAAAACCACCCTATCAAAGCCTAAGAGCATTTCTCATACTCATATTCGGAATCAGCATAGTCGATAACCTAGAACCCAGTAGGTTTTATTTAAAAAGCGATTAGACAGTTGGAAAGGTTCCCTCGTCAGACACGCATATTCGCTTCCACACTCCTATACTTATACCCTATATCAGGCATATGACTACATCAAACGCCCAATTATTTGAGTATGATCGTTTAGATTTCATTTGACTAACGTTCCTTTTTTATTAACACTTAAGTTTATTTCGAAAAAGTGTTTTTTCCATGCAAGACTTTCTAGTGAAAACGAAAATACTATTCGATAAATTTTTAATATAGATATTCTATTTTTGTTTCTATTGACATAATTTCGGACAAAGAAGAAAAATATTTTTTAGGAATTAAAAGTGTATGTCTTATTTCATATACTAACAAGATTTAGTAAAAAATTTTTGTCAAATATTTTTCGATGAAGTTTGAAAATACTTGTAAGGAGTAATTCATGAATTGACCAGAAGAAATGAACGTCTTCAGATATGATTGATATCTTACTCATTTTTCATTATTCAGACTTCATTTTGATGTCGGAAGATGCACTATGATATTCTCTACAAATTGATTCAAAAATCGACTTCACTTAAGATTGATGAGCAAAATGCTAGCCAAGTAATTATATGCATCATCAACTTGACCAACTTTGAGAACACAATTACAAAACTGTTTCAATCTTTTTCAAGCTTTGGAGCAATCAGTCAACTATTATTGATAGGCACACATTCTTTACCTCAACTAACAAGGGAACATTCCCAGGCACAGGAGCGCTTTTCAGTCGGTGTTTCGCACATCTTGTACTCCACAGTGAGCTATGTTTATGGTAAAAAAAAGTTCGGTTTTCTGGCTTGTTTCTGAGCAGATATCGAGCTCCTAGTGAATTTTCTCTATAGTACGCCTACATTGGCAGCAAAGTTATACTTTCGAATTTTGACTTGAAACTTTGCCTGCATCAAAAATTTCAGAAGTTTCGAATGAAATATCTCTAAGATACGAAGCTTTGAAAAAAATGCATACTACGTATATATATTATTTATAATAAAGGGACTATACCTTGATAGTTTCACATTTTAGAGATATTTCATTCGAAACTTCTGAAATTTTTTATGCAAACTAGTCTAGCTGAGGCCTTTATGCAGGCAAAGTTTTAAGTCAAAATTCGAAAGTATAGCTTTAATGCCAATGTAGGGGTACTATAGAGAAAATTCACTGGGAGCTCGATATCTCCTTAGAAACAAGCCAGAAACCCGAACTTTTTTTACCATAAACACAGCTCACTATGGATCACAAGATACATGAAACATCGACTGAAAAGCGCTCCTACGTCTGGGAATGTTCCTTTACAAGTGGAAAATATAATAAACTTAGTAAATTTTACTTATTAAAATCAAATAGTGAGGTATGGATGTGTGTCACGAGAAAAGCTGCACATCTACACCTTACAAACATGTATTTTGTCACTGGTTGAAGACTTGAGACCAGAAACATCGCCACAAACAATAGATTCTTTCTAGTAATTTACGTAGATTTTATGCTAGCCTCAGATAGAATGCGGTATCCCGTGCTTCTTAGCAAGAAGGATGTGTGTATGGGTGTAAATGTGGTTGGCTGTGGCTGTCGAATTTCTTTCCAACCGCCTACATCCACACCCTACTGATCCTAAAATTATGAGAGACAGACGAAGGAAAACATTCTCACAGCTTCGTTTAGTTAAACATATCAAATAGTGCAATAGATTCGTCGATTCAAGTGAAATATCTATTAACCTAGTTATATAGTTATAGGGAAGCATCTGCGTTACTTCTGAGTCAGGTCATTTATTGATTCAAAGAAACGATTTATTAATGGAGCAACGTAGCACGAGATACCACATACTTCTCGATAGAGATTTTTAACATCTAATGCTTTTGAATTTCTATTTTCCTTTGTTTTTCCTCGCCAAGTGTGTATTGTTCAAATTTTTCTCGTCTGAATTTTGAGAGACATATTATGGTTAAGCTATGTAAAATTTTGACTAAAAGCGTAGCAAATGAGACAGGAACATTGTATTCCAGTTACTTATTCAATGCTTCAATGGATAATATGATAGTGATGTGATGATTAAATAAATCAATTTATATTATGAATTTTTTAACATTTTTCTTCTTTTTTTGAATGACAATATCGACGAACATGTAGCTTTTGACAACAAGTAATTGATATCAACATAAAAGCAACAAAGACAACATGGCTCAAGCTATTTGAATACCAATGTAAAACAAAGATGAAAAAGCTTAGTGATTACATGAAGTTTGATAATGAAAAGAGTTAAGCAATATAGTGCTTGATTAAACAAATGTAATTCTGTCTGTTTTTTAAATCATGATTGAACAGTAACTCGATGAGAACGAATACGCTTTTTCATCCATCGATAAAGCCATATGGCATTCCAGGTAATGAATCGTAAGCCAATCGTAAGACCACCATAGAGGCCAAGTACTGATGCAGCCACGTACAAGAGATTATTGCGTGTAACATATTCAAAATTACAATGAGTTGGTGCACATGCAGCAAAATAATCTTCGTATGAACCTGTCTGTGTCCACTCTTCGAGAAAGTATTCGTCTAAGAGTGTACCAATTGAAGTGTTCTTTGAAAAACGTGAAGGTATTGAGCTATCTAATGGAGATATAGTCAAGGGTAATAGGGTTGGTGGAACGAAATCAGTAGGTTGTGATCTATCCATTTTTGTGTGGTATTCAAGATAAGTGAGGATGGTAGAGATGCAGCTTGATGAGAAGAAACATTCAAGTGTGGACATGCGGAGTCCATCATAGGGTAAACATCCAACAACAAGACCGAGTAAAAAAAGGCCTGGTGGACCGATTCGTAGTGGTTCTTGACATGCTCCCAAAATCATACAATTGCATGTACTATTAGTGAATACGCGAGGTACACTTCGAATGAGATCACAATCCGATTCGTCATCGTATTCCAACAACCAATCAGTATTGAAGGTGGTCGGCAAAAAACTCAAGCGAAACATTTCAAGTAGGAAATGTTGTAACCGTTGAAATTCCTTTGGTATGAGACGAATGCTGTGGATGCCAATGCTGGTCGTTTCCCATAGACTTCGTGGTATTACAGTTACGGTTAAGTACAATTTTCGCTAGAATTGGTCTAGTTGCGCATTGGCATCGTTTACTAGTTCTTCGCACATCCATCTCAAAATTTGAAAATGCTTGCTGAGAAGAGGTCGATCAAGCTGTAGATGGCTGTTTGCAGAGAGTCCATATCCATATAAAAGCGTTATCCATGTTGTATTGATAAATGCACTCGAACAGATCTGAACAATGCATGACATGAAAAATCTTAGAAATCAGTAAATTACAGATAATATCATATGCAACAGCACTTAGAGGTCTAAAAAAGCTAAGATTAATATGTTATCGTTTTATAAAAGATCTTCCTATCTTCAGTAAGTAGCATTATGTGTCAGTATCAACTAGGGGTGGGACTTTACCTTTACTTTACTAGTAAATAGTAAATAAAATATTTACTATTTACTAAAGTAAAGTAAATCAAGTATTTACTATTTACTTTGGTAAAGTAAATAAACCATTTGTTATTTACTATTTTCTATTTATTAAAGTAAAGTAACTAAAGTATTTATTCCCTCGACTGCAGGGAGCGTCATATGAAATAGAATGCGGTTGTATGTGTCAGGGTCTAAAGAACATCAGAGTCAAAAAACATCGTCTGAAAGAATATAAATCGAGGTCGACGAATCCGAGTCTCAAGTGAGTTTTTCAAAATTTTCAACTGAGTTTTTAGGGTCAAGAGAAGGTTTTTTGGAGAAAATAACGATATTTTATTCTCTTTCTCGTAGAGAAGAGTCTAGCAAGAATAAATTGTTTGCTAGCGTGCTGGCTTGTGTGTCCGCACTTTACTGATTGTTCCAAGAATAATGTGAAAACAAAAGGGATTATCTTCCTTAGAACTTGACCAAAGGTAATCGAGGGTGGGAGTTCAAATTTGAGGTTAGCTTGAACTAATTATTAACTAATTATTAATTGGCTATTAATTATTGATT